TAGACTAGACTATAGACTAGACTATAGACTAGACTATAGACTGACTATAGATAGACTATAGACTAGACTATAGACTAGACTATAGACTAGACTATAGACTAGACTATAGACTAGACTATAGACTAGACTATAGACTAGACTATAGACTAGACTATAGACTAGACTATAGACTAGACTATAGACTAGACTATAGACTAGACTATAGACCGACTATAGACTAGACTATAGACTAGACTATAGATAGACTAGATAGACTATAGACTAGACTATAGACTAGACTATAGACTAGACTATAGACTAGACTATAGACTAGACTATAGACTAGACTATAGACTAGACTATAGACTAGACTATAGACTAGACTATAGACTAGACTATAGACTAGACTATAGACTAGACTATAGACTAGACTATAGACTAGACTAAGATAGACTAGACTATGACTAGACTAGACTATAGACTAGACTATAGACTAGACTATAGACTAGACTATAGACTAGACTATAGACTATGAATAGACTAGACTAGACTATAGACTAGACTATAGACTAGACTATAGACGACTATAGACTAGACTATAGACTAGACTATAGACTAGACTATGACTAGACTATAGACTAGACTATAGACTAGACTATAGACTAGACTATAGACTAGACTATAGACTAGACTATAGACTAGACTATAGACTAGACTATAGACTAGACTATAGACTAGACTATAGACTAGACTATTGACTAGACTATAGACTAGACTATAGACTAGACTATAGACTAGACATAGACTAGACTATAGACTAGACTATAGACTAGACTATAGACTAGACTATAGACTAGTCTATAGACTAGACTATAGACTGACTATAGACTGACTATAGACTAGACTATAGACTAGACTATAGACTAGACTATAGACTAGACTATAGACTAGACTATGACTAGACTATAGACTAGACTATAGACTAGACTATAGACTAGACTATAGACTAGACTATAGACTAGACTATAGACTAGACTATAGACTAGACTATAGACTAGACTATAGACTAGACTATAGACTAGACTATAGACTAGACTATAGACAAGACTATAGACAAGACTATATACAAGACTATATAAACTAAAGAATTAACATCTTTGACATCTTCTCTCTAGATAAAATACTTTTGCGAGGGCAACAGTGTTATGTACTATTAGCATCCATAGATTACATATCTAAACTAATTGTCGATATTAATTTGCTATACTGTTAGTTTGTTTATGACTAAAATCTCATTTGAACTATTGATTAGATTTTATTATAAACAACAATAATAAGACTTTATTATTGGTACAATTTAATTTAAAATGTGATGTCGAACCATTTTATAATAATTAAAATTGTAACTCCAAACTGTGCTACAGAGCGAGAAAATGTTAATCAGTTAAAATTTTTATATAAATATATTACTGAAGCCTATATAATTTGCTCGAAAATTGTAAATATTTAACGGGACAAGCTATTGATTTTATATATAATCAATTTGAAATGTTTGCTGAGATAATTATTTTGTAGAACAGTGTTAAATATTTCTTACAGCAAAAGGATATACAAATGAAAGTAATTTATTATTTTTCTTCCTCATAAATTATATTTCATTGCGACTTGTCTACACTCGGACTGGTATCGTCTTAGAAGTACATATTGTTCTAATTTATCTTTTGCACTGTGTTTTCCTTAAATTTTAGCCAAAAAATATAAAAACCTTGAACAAAATGTGTAAATTTTAATAAAGTTGAGGGCAATCACTCAATGTTTTAAATTTGTAAAATATGAACAATGTTGTTTATTTAAAAAAAAATGATTCTTATATCATTACCCTAGAGTTTGTTTTACGTTACACTGTGCACTTAAATGTGCATACATTTTAATATGAATTTGATCATAATAACCTGGTCCATATGTCTTTGGAGGACCATCTATTAGTTCACATTACACTTATGAAACCGAAATCAAGTCGAAAACTAATCAGCTCCTATGTATGGGAATTTTGTACTAATGCCTCCATGCCTGTTTTCTGTAGCACAGTGTTATTGAAACGTGATTTAACATCTCTCTCAAAAAAAAAAACTCGAACTAATTATTGGCGCTACTTTTAACACCAGACAATAATTATTGTTTCAATATTATCTATTTAGCGTTTGTTTAATATAAAAGCTAAAACAATAACAATGTTTATTTTATTATTATATACTAATACTGGGTAGACAAATACAATTTAAATAAATATATAATAAATATAATAAAAAAAAGTACATGTATATAATCTAATTCTCTCATCAAATATAATGCTCTTTAAATATACATAAATATATTATTTTTTTGATTATCCTCTACACCCACTGAGAAGAGCATATAAATTTGTCTAGACGTTTATGATACATTCTGAACCTTAATCGATTATAAGACATCAATATGTCTAATTAAGGAAGGAACAATCCAATCTAACTATCTATGGACTAGTATATTGACTAGGCTATATTATATAGATGGACTAGTCTAGGCACTAGTCCATTGAGTTGTCTATATACTAGTCCATTCAGTAGACTACAGACTAGTCTATTGACTAGTCTAAGAACAAGTCAATTGACTGGTCTATGAACTAGTCTATGATTAGTCTATGAACTGGTCTATTGACTAGTCTATGGACCAGTCTATGTACTAGTCTATTGGCTATTATATTGACTAGTCCATTTACTAGTCTATAGACTACTCAATGGACTAGAGTAGTCTATAGACTAATCTAATAGTCTATGGACTAGTCTATGGTCTATGAACTAGTCTATTGACTAGTCTATGGACTAGTTTATTGACTAGTCTATGAACTGGTATATGACTAGTCCATGAACAAGACTATGACTAGTCTGTGGACTAGTCTATTGACTAGTCTAAGAAGTGCGTCTATTGACTATGTCTATGAACAAGTCTATTGACTAGTCTATTGAACTAGTCTTATATACTACTCTATTGACAAGTTTTATTGACTCTCGTATGGACTAGTCTATGCAGTAGTTCATTGAGTAGTCTATAAACTAGTCTATTAGTCTACTAGTCTATTGACTAGTGTATGAACTAGTCTATGGACTAGTATATTGCCTATAGATTTAGTCTATGGACAAGTTTAATGACTTGTCTATGTATTAAGTCTATTGACTGATCTATGCACTAGTCCATTGACTAGTCTATTAGACTATGGACTAGTCTATTGAACAGTATATGAACCAGTCTATTGACTAGTCTGATGAGTAGTCAATGGACTAATTTATAAAACTGTCTAAGGACTAGACTAATGACTAGTCTATGGACTAGACTATTGACTAGTCTATGGACTAGTCTATTGACTAATCTATGGACTGGTCTATGACTAGTCTATGGACCAGTGCATAGGCCAGGCAATAGACTAATCCATAGACAAGTCAATAAACTTGTTCATAGACTAATCTATAGACTAGTCCATAGTCTAGGCAATATACTAGTCCATAGACTAATAATTAAACTAGTCAATAGACTAGTTCATAGACTACTAAATAGACTAATCAATAGGCTAGTCATTAGACTAATTTATACTCCATTGCCTAGTCTAGTTTATGAACTGGTCATTGACTAGTCTATGGATAAGTCTATTGATCAGTCAATGAACTAGTCTATGAACTTGTCTATAGATCAGTCTAAGGAGACCAGTCAAAGCCTATTCATTAGTATATTTTTCTCTATGTACTATTCTATTCTATTGTCTAATCTTAGGACTAGCCTATTTTGGTCTATGGAGACCAGTCTAAGCCTATCCATTAGTATATTTTCTCTATGTACTATTCTATTGTCTAATCTTAGGACTAGCCTATTTTCTATTTTCTAGTCCCTTAAATCAATTGAGCAAAAGATCATAATTTTCTTAGAGATATTTAATATGTCTTAAGAGTACTATTTTCGATGTCAAAAAGTACAACAGTACTAAGTTTTCCATGCCTGATATATGTATGTATATTCCGAATCCTTATAGAAAACCTGTCATATGTTGCGTGAAATAAAGTTTCCTGTAGAAGTGAAGGGTATATTAGATTCGTTATAGCACTGTTACTTATATTTTATATAAATACTAACAAATCTGATTGCATTTTATCTATTATTTTGTTGATGCCAAAAAAAAAATTATTGTTGTTTTTGTTCAGTACAATGACAAAAATTCTCATTTACAGAAACAAAATATTTCAAATGTTTTATTATTGTTTTGATTTTTGACGAAGTGAATACAAAGTGAATTTTAGAAAAAAAAATCACAAAACAATTTTATTTCAAAACGGTCAAGTGTGGTTGGTTAATAACGGGCAAAATTTAAAAAAAAATATATATATGCATATAAAATTTTTAAATATATAAACTAAACGTTTGCCAACGATAACTTACATAAATTACAACTATTTATAAATAAAATTTGTTATATTACTTTTATTTTTATACCAACGCGGGGTTATCGGTTTTTTAAATTGTGTTGAAACAAATAAAAAATCATGCGTTTTATTGTGTTTTATTTAAAAATATATAATAATAAAAATCGTTATCGTTAATTTGTTGTTATTTATTGGTGTTGTTTAAAAAAATTACTTAATTTATATAAATAATGTAACTTGTAAAGGTTTTTGCTCTTTTTAAATAAATGCAAATACAATTACAATGTTTTTCAAAGAAAAAAATAATCTTTTTCAAAACACTCAAATGCGGGTTTTATACAGAAAAAAAATTCACTTATCAATGAACAAAATTCTTCAAAATTCAATGTCAATGTTTATAAAATTGAATAGAAAATTTAATCAATGTGAAGGTTTTTTTAGAGTGTGTAATTTCTTTTAAATTTAACTTTTTGCCAACATTTTTATTTTTAGCTAAAGAAAGTGTTGTATTTTAAAATGTATTAAAAAATATGATTTATATTTAAATTGTTATTTTTAAAATAAATATTTTGT